TACCTGCCGCCACACTCGCTAGATTTGAGAGACATTGCCCTGCGTTGAATGACTCTGAATTTTTTTTTTTGATCCTTAAAAACCATCACGATCACAGCTCAACGAGTCTTTTGGATGGTAGGAAGGGCGTGCAGACAGCTCAAGCTTCGCGTTGGGCTCACTCGGCTCGCTCTACTCAGATCACACTTGCGAAAAATGCTATGACTTCGATCATCCCCACATGGTTGCTTGCGCTTCAATTAGAAGAGGAGGCGTGCTTTCGAACTCTAGATTTGTCTACCTCGAGCAAGGAGCAAGCGACATGAGAGCTGCGCGAGGCATACACGCATACCAGATCTTTGCCCGCCAAGGTGGAGGCGAAGGAAGATTGAACGGTCCTCTGCAGGCTAGTGCGCCTACACCTCAAGATTGACGCTTCTTCAACTCGAACGACGCTCACGCCTTACCATACTTTGTGGACACCACTTGGAGATTTGCTGACGTCTTCACTGCTCGCCCTTTCATAAAACTTGCCGATGAGCCAGGAGAAAATGCGAATGTAATCTGAGAGCAACTTGATCGCTCTCCGCGGTGCGTTTGTCAAGTCGAAAAGCGCTGCATGGCAGTCTTGCATTGTGGTCTGTTCGCATACATGCATGATGCAGCAGCAGCAGTGACGAGTATAAAGACCAGAGAAGGCCACGCCGGATCCGCTGGCGCAATGTGAGGTGGCGCACCGACTACTTTTCTAGGCAATGCTGAAACACTCGTCGTGTACTTGTCTTGAAACCCCTACGCTCCATTCTGATCTCGCGCAATCTGCGCCGTTCTCGCGCTGTGCCAGATGCTAGCAAGGAGTGTCATTGCATGCAACCCACGAGTGTTTGGTCCGATCAAGCAAGTCACAACAATCGTCCTTTGTAAGTGTGAGCGTCACACGTTCTTTGAGGAGGCGTACAGGTACACAGCAAGCACGCTACCGTATCTCATGCAGCGCTTTACGGTACCGCCGGCGCCATGCATGCATGCACAGAGCAATAAGCAAAAGCAGCTGCAGCAATCGACGCCACTCGTCGGCGTCCGGTCTCACAGGCCACAGCTGTTGCTGCATGGTGCACGCAGAGATCGATCAGAGGTGATGGCTCGATGCGACTTGAAATCAAGAATTGGATGCTTCTCAGACATCAATCGGAACAACTACCACCGTGAACTTGCTGGCAGCGTACTCGCCTAGCTGCAACGCGTGCACTGGCGAATCATGGCGGAGAGTCAGCAGCGAATAGCGGAGCTGTGCTTGATGGCTCAGCTACTAGGGCACTCTGACTCACGCAAGACTCATACGGCCTCACAGTGCACTGCGCGTGCTGCACTCGGCCCCTCCAGACTGCTGGCTCGCGAGTGGTGAGCCCAGAGTGGCTTGCTCTGGTTCCGGCCGCCATCGGCGCGCAGACAATTCGAATGTCTGACTTCGGAATTGCTGGATCACGTCGCATACGGATCTACGAGGTTGCTGTTCAAATCACAAACAGACCCTCTTCGCCGCATACCTTTGTGAGTCGCCGAAGTGGCAGTCATACTGCCGTCGGGCGTGTATGTGTACGTGATGTGGAAAAGATGCTGCATGGGACCTTTCTTACCACGTCCTCGGCAGTATGACAGCTGGAGGCCATCCAATCGTGATACCGGCTCAGTCGCGGACTATCACAAATGCAATGCGAAATGATTCACCACGGGCTCGCCGTCTTTTGTTGGGATGGGTTTGAGCAATGCCCTCCGGGAACACTGTCATGCGGGCCGCACCATGCTTTGGCAACGCGATAGGCAGCAGCTGTACACCTTGTCATCTCAGGAGTCGCAGTGGATTAGTAAGCGCTCCATCGCTAGTACCTCACGCCACCTAGCTATCGCTCAGCGGTTCCCTACGACGCGGTCCCATCAGCCTCTGCCGTTGCAGGCAAGGGAACTTGGGACCAAGAAGAATGGAGTCAGTCAGGGTGTCATTATTCAGCGGGACTTCGGTTCGGACGACTGACAGGCGCGCTACATGAACCCAGAGACGGCATCCTGGATTCAACATCAACTCGAGCGCCACGCGGAATTTAGATTTTGAACATACCATTTGCAAGGACAAGCGTTCAGGCTACGAACGAGGAGTGGCGCGGCTAGGCATCGCAACGTCACATCACAGACCGAAAGGGGAGGAAGACTGGTGTAACGGCTGGCAAGCGGCGCTCTAGAGCAGAGTAGTGTTGGCTGCTCGACCTTGGTGGCGGCATCGAGTCCAAGAGCTCGCAAAGCCAAGGCGATGCACCTATCTCGAGCTGCAAAAAAAAAAGTAGTGGCTGGGCGAACAGTCGATAGACTTGCTCGCGACCGTAAGGCCGAGGTCATGTGCGAGCATCTATGCACACGCGACGTGAGAATCTCCACCAAGATCTTCATGCTAGTCCAGCAACATCGCCATGCAGGAATCTCAACAGGGGTGCTGGTACCGTGTATCAATTAAGTGATCACGCAGAAAGAGAGGCGCACGTCTTCCGGCGGGCGGAATCGCCGACTCGACTGTGGTGGATGTGAGATCAAGACGTGGAAAAAGCGCGTCCGGTCGCATGTTGCGCGCCTCCGCCGTCTCATTTTGCCCCTCGCGCTCGCGCTCGCGCTCACCTGCCAATCTTGACCGCCGTCGGTCATTGTTGCCACGAAGATGAGACATGCGTAGACACCATCTCAGTGCCGCCATGCTGCTCTGGCTCGATAGCTTCACAGGACCGCTGTACTGGCCCGTAGCAGCAGAACAGACCTGTGCGACCAGTGTCAATGACGGAACAACGCTGTGGGCGACTTTGCCTGCGACAGATTTGAGAAGAAAGACCTCGGTAAGGTTATGCTTCACCCATGCAAAGACCGGAATTAAGCAACCAGACTGGCAGGGAGGCCCATGCCGATTGACGCAACTTCGAAGCCCCAACTGGGGAGCGTACTGCGAGTGTAGGTCTATCTCCTACTCGCGCAGTGTGTGGCCTTTCGGCTTTCGAGGGGCGCCGGGTGCAATTCGATTGCTGGACACACGTTCGCCACGTCGGGCATGCGACGAAATACACTCCTGTGCTGCCGTCGCTGGGCTGCACTGGCCGCTCTTTGCGCTCCCAATGGTGCGTTGGCTACGACTAGCCCTCAATCCTACATAATAGCCAGACACACATCGCAGCTTGAAGCCAAAAGTAGCTCGTCTCCATCTGCTCATCCCACCGCGATTACCCGTGCGAGCTCATCGAGTAGGACGTCAGCTGTCGCACGCTCTTCCCAACCCGCAAAGCCTCACGGAAAGATTTCTTCACTAAAGCCTCAGCAGTATGAAGCTCACGTCGCGTCTGCTCTTCAGTGCTCTTGGCCTGGCTGCACTGCAGCTTTGCCTCATCGACACCGTCACGGGGCAGACCGATCCTTTTGGTCCTGCCTGGGACGGCGGCGAACATTACATCTTCTCTCGAGAGGAGGGAATGCATATCCTTCACAAACGAGACAAGAGTCCCGACCCTGCCGTGGCCACGTATCAAGGCTGCAAGCTGAACGATGCCTTCATCGCGAAGCACAAACACAACAGTGCGTGTCGACCGTGTGTCAGCCAGACGGTGCTCCAGGGCTCATCTCTGTCCTCACCTTTTGCGCAGGCAAAACCAACGAAGGCATTCAAATGGCCGAGTGCTTTTCCAACTGTCGGTGAGTGTGCATGTGAATGCGTGTGAATCCCGAGACTGGCCGTTGACCGTTTTTCTCGCCCTTTTGTGCGGCTGTAGCATCTCTCCCAACGGTGAGGATCGATGCTGTCGAGTGCTGCAAACATCGTAAAAGCTAATTGTGGAGAGTGTTCGGACAGCTTTCGCGTACTTCCTTGTCGATGACTCGAACATCAAGCGTGAAGGTTACCCTTACGGTGAGTCTTGACCGTGCTGGTCGCCAGAATATTGCAATGGTGCCTCTGACGCTTGCTCTCAACCACGTTGCCAGGGACGTGCACCGCCTTTTCTGTCCAGCCAACGATCGACGATCTCGCCGAAGGCGATCCGGAGATGCACATGTGTGGTTTCTGGGACCGTGGTGGCGTCATGCTGGAGGAGTGCGTCGCAGAGAGTGTCTTTCTCGACGGCTTGTGCTGACACAAGATCTGCCTCCATCTCGTCTAGAGCATATGGTCGCTCTTTCGTGAACATGCCCATGATCTGCCCACACAACCTGAAAGGGTGCTACTCGGTGAGCCCAAAGTTGCAACATGAGCGTGTGGGCGTGTGCAAAATTTGCTGAAACGTGCCAAGCGCGCCTCTATTCTCGAACTCGCAGAAAGATTATTACAGCCCAGGCGGCAAGGTGAGCGCAGCTGCCCGACAGTCCGATCCATTACAAATCAACTCACCGTTATACTTTTCGTCCTCTAGCTGGCCGAGTTTGCCAACGTAAAGCCCACGTACGACGGTCACATTTGGCCACCAAAGGACCAAGATCACGAGCTGCAATATTGCGGTGCGTGTTGCTCACGTCAGATTTTGTCGACACGGCGCTGGGCTGACAAGACCCTTTGTTTCGCACAGAGTGTCTCAACTGCGGGTGCCCCACGCCTACCTATGCCGAATTTCAACAGATTCCAATTCCAGGTTGCGACCCCAAAACGATGTGCAAGCCCTACCAGGGTCAAAAGACTGGTGTTGAAGGCGCCAACATTCGAGGAAAGCAAGCCGGAACGGCCAAGGGTACCACTGGCGGCTCAGCTGGCACTGGCACTGCTCCCACAACTGGCAAGAGCAACGGCAGCGGGAAGGGCACCACTAAAGGCGGCAACACGAGTACCGGCAGCGGCGGTTCTTCCAACACTGGTAGCGGTGGCAATGCCAACACTGGCAGCGGTTCGCACAAAGGTCACGACAACAGCGCAGACACCGGCAAGAAGGGCAGCTCGAGCAAGAAGGGCTCAAGCACCAAGCAAAAAGAGTCGCCCAGTAAGGGTCCCGACGAGAACGAGTTCCCAATCAGCGGATCTGAAAGCAAATCGAAGGACAAGGATAAGAAGGAAAGCAGCAAGGATAGCAAGGAGACCACGGGTGCTAGCCTAGACAACACCTACAAGCTCGGCGACTCTGGATTCGACAAGATCGCAGGATCTTCCTCGGCACATGGAAAAGGAGACGACACCAGCACCGTCACCGAGAACGATCTCCCTGATTGCGAAGAAGGTGAGACTTCTGGTGCGGGAGCTCAAGAATGCTTGAAGAAGGGAGGCAGACAGCAAAAGCCGCTCGGTTCGTCTTTGAGAAATCGTATTTTGCGTAAGAGATTGGCTCTCGGTGGTGCGCCTCCGAGCCAAACACCGCCTGCGGGTGGTGCTGGCTCGCCTCCTGGTGGCGCAAACCCGCCCCCGAGCCAGGTACAACCTCAGAAGGAAGGAGACTCGGGCAAGCCAGGCTCGCCTCCTAGTAGCGCGAATCCGCCCCCGAGCCAGGGGCAACCTCAGAAAGAGGGAGACACGGGTAAGGGAGGCTCGCCTCCTGGCGGCGGCTCGCATCCGAACGAAAAGGACCCTAAAAAAGAGGGAGACTCGAGCAAAGGAGGTTCGCCTCCTGATGGCAATCCGCCTGCGAGCGAAAAGGATCCAAAGAAAGTGGATACGCCCGGGGATCAAGGCAACTTGAATATGAGCGACCACCCGTCGCCGAACGAGCAGCCCAAAGAGAAGGAAGAGAAAACGGAGCTTGAGAGTACCGAGCACTTGGAGTCGAACGGCAATGCGCCTCCAACTGAGCCATCGCTCAATGGTAACGGGCCTCCAAGCGAGCCACCGCCGGCTCAGCCACCTCCGAGCGGAGGACCTCCGCCAAACCAAGGACCGCCTGCGGGTCTCGGTGGTATGCTGTCCGGCGGAGGCTCTCCTCCCTCTCAGCAGCAAGGCATGCAAGGGTTGGGATCAGGGCTTA